ATGAAAGGCAGCCAACACCGGGAGCCAGTTCACAACTTGCACCATTTCCAGACTTGGGAGATGCTTTCATGAACCAGGAAGTATGTTTTAACTACACTAAATATGCCGCTGGATTTGACCTTGGATTTGCCAGCCTCTGGGGCCATGAGAAATAAATTTCTGTGCCTTAAAGCGACCTAGTTTATAGCATTTTGTTACTGCAGACCAAATTGTGTAGAAGGGCTTTTATTTTCTTGGGAAGGATTTTCCTGTGTTACAGCCTCCTCCTCCCTACTGTCATCAGTCTTCTACAAATCAAGTTTAGTAGAAGATTCTCTATGACCTGAGTCTACTGGACATGCTTCTCGATATGGGAACCCTGCCAAAGACTCCCCAAGAATCCTGAGACAAGGATTCAAGCACTAACTTTTTTTTTAAAGGAGAGGTGGGTACTGGTGGGAGTGGGGGAGTGAGAAAGAGGAAGGGGATGGCCAGTGAAGATTGGGTTATGAACAGCTGCCGCGTTCGGTGAATAGAGCATAGCCCCATTCGGGAATTGCTAGCACTGAGGAAAATACACACACTGGAACTGTCCCCAGAGAGCTGGGGAAGTGGAGTACAGATTCCCCTGAGTCAATGCATGATTACCGGGAGGGAGGGAGACCCTGCTTCCTTCACACTTTCCTCTGTTCTTACTTCGTCAATTAGTCTTCAGTGATTCAGCCAGGAGCCCAGAAGCCATCTGGACCTGGATTCTGCCAGAGGGTGGTCTGAGCAGCAATGGCAGAAGGAGCCTGGGATATTGTGCCTGGTGAAGGCAGGATGCACTGAGTGAGACAGTGCTGGGAACACTGACAGCAGCACTGACCGCACACACCTTTCAGAGCCTTTGAGGAAAAACTCGGCTGCAGAGATGCCTGGTTCATAGGCTCACTCTGCTCAAAGTCTCCCAGCCGTGACTGGATAGCAGAAGACCTGGCCATCTCTGCCACTCTGCCTAGCACTGACGTGTTCAAGCTGTGAAGGACCCAAGGGGTGAGCCTCCACCCCCTGTCCCAAAGCTGGTCCTGAGGTATCACCCTCCTTGATTAAGCACTTTTGATGGGAAATTCATTTCCCAGTCCTGCTTTCTGCACACCTCTGTGCTTCACACAGAAGCAGAATTGCTATACTTACCCTTAAGGTTTTGTTCTGATTCTTTTATGAAGGTGCTAATGATTACATTCCTACCTAAACTGAAATTTGTTACTACCCATTTCCTGGTAAACAATATACATCAAGATTTTATACACATCTCCTCTCTACAACTTTCAGACTTATATTTGCTCTCACCCGAAGCCTGTCGTTTATTGGTTAATCTTCTAATGTCAGATAATCTTGGTGATGTCACTGAGAATAGATAGGTTTCCAATTGTTCCCTCTGATTTCATCCCTTTGGGTTTTGACCAGGAGAAAAGAAATCATTTACTTCTGTACAGATCCAATGTCACAGTGTCAAAACTCACCAGAACGGCAAGCAAAGGGCCATTTCAGTCATCTCTTGTGTAATGAAATGGCCCTTGCATTACTGTTATCATATGTAAAGCATGGCCTAATGGGAAAGGAAAGAGGTGGAACTTAAAGTTTCTGGTTCTAGTCTGGCCTTTGAATCTCACCAGGTGATCCGGGCTAATCTCCAAGCTCATTTACCACCTGTAAAATGAGACTGTTTAATCAGGTCTAAAATGATATTATTCCATCTGTAGGTATTAGGAATGTAAAATAGTCCTGCCTGCCTGTGTGTTAGAACTTGAATCATTTTGTTTCATTTTGAGATAATACCTTGCTGTGTGCATGACTCCCAGCCTGGCCTCAGACCAGTGGTGATCCTCCTGCATCAGCTTCGTGAGTTCTGGGAGTAGAAACCCGTGTCACCTTAATGCGGTTTGACCTTGGTCTTGGTGTAAGAGGCTGAGTGCTGTACCCCAGCCCTGAATGGAGTACTCCAATGCAGCCTTCCCACCCTAGCTCATGCTGGGGTCTGATAGCCAGTGCACTGGAGCTGGTAGCCGAGTTCATGGGAGTGGAACAGGTTGTCAGCAAGATCTTTCTCTCTGGAGAGTGGGTTTCTCCTGGTAGAAGAAGGTAGAACACTCATGTTTTACCTCCTCCACCTGACCATCCTGCTGGTTTCTCCCATAAGTTGAAGTCGGAGGAGGCCGCCACCAGAAGCTGAGATGTTACATCATCCCTTGACCTTCCCAGACCTCAGAACCGTGAGTCAAAGTAAACCTTCCGCTTATTATGTCACCACATCTGGCATAGAAAACAGACTAAGGCAGCTTCATTTTTCAAAAATAAGATTATATGTTCATTTTTGTTTCTTAAAATCCCTCAGTAGTATTTCTTCCTCATTTTTATTTTGTTTTGTTCTCTAGCTGCATAGATTATCTGCCTTCAAGCTGTAGTTTTGTAAACTGGGTTGTAAGATAGTTTGTTTCCACATGGCTTTTTCATACTTTCTTAAGTTTGGTTAATCCTTACTTTCATCCCCTCATCGTTCCCAAATCCTTATTATGAATATAAAGTAGTGGGAAATCTGGTAGAATAAGAACTATCAAACACTTTATAACAATATAGAGTAAAAGGCATTAAATATATAGAGAAACAAGATTCTGCCAGAAAGTTAAAAATGGTCCTAAAGTATTGTCAAATACGTTTTTATTAGATTTATGTAGAAGTATCTTCCATCTGTTTATTTAGAGGAATATCCAGAACACATAAAGAATTCAACTTGCTAAAAGCTCAAATATTCCAATTAAAAACACAGATGATCTGAATAGACATATTCTCAAAAAAAAAAAGTGACGAGGAAATACTAATAGACAATGAACTGTCATTCGTTTTCAGGGGGATGAAAAATCTGAGCTGTAAGTCTCCATCTTACTATTATGCTATCTATTATCAAACAACAGAAAACAAAAATAAAAACTCTGTTGTGGATAGAGAGCTAAAAGGGCTCTTGAGAGTCTGAGAAGAGGACTCCGCAGTTAAGAGGACTGGTTGCTCTCCCAGAGGGACCAGGGTTCCATTCCCAGCACCCACATGACATTGAACAAAGGTCTGTAACTCCAGTCCCAGGAGGACCTGAAGCCTTCTCTGGCCTTCTTCCTCCATGGACACTCTGAAGATGTGTAAGCAAGCAAAACATCCATATGCAGAAAATAAAAAATAGAAATTTAAAAAGAACACTTAGATACTGTATAGCTGCTGTGGAGTGGGAAAAATGTGGCAGCTCTACACGGACACAGACACAGACACACACACACTGAAACTAGCACTAGCTGTGTGATACTGGGTATCTGAACTCAGAATATGATAGAGAGACAGGTACGCACATGTCTGTCATAACACCATCCAGAAAGCTCAGCTATGGAATAGTCCCAGGTGCCTAGCAATAAACAAAGAAAATGCGGTGTGTGTACACAGTGGGTTTTGTTTTATATGTGTGTATGTATACATATGTGTGGACACGGGCACGCGTGTGCACGGATGCCAGAGGACAGCCTCAGGTGTCAGCCTCAAGAGTAATGCCCATCTCCTTTATAAAAAGGGTCTCTCAGTGGCCTGGAGCTTATCAACGACCAAACTGGCGGGCCAGAGAGCCAGAGTTCCTCCTGCATCTGCCATCTCCTCAGCATTGGGATTATAAGCGTGCACCACCACACCAGACCGATGTGGGTTCTGGGGATCTAAGTCAGGTCCTTAGGCTTTCAAGCAAGGACTTTACTGGCTGAATTACCTCCCTGGCCCCTTATAATAGATTATTGTTCATCCATAAAGAAGAATGAAATCCTGTCATATGTAGGAAAATATATGGAATGATAAGACATCACGTTAAGCCAGACCTGGTGGGACAAGTGTCATGTTTTTCTCTTTAAAAATAAATGATGAAAGTGGATTATTAAGGACCAGGAGAAAAGGGTTTGTGCTGGTGTTTGTATTTTTTATTTTTTATCTACTTGGTACACACAAAAGCTGAGGAGAGGGAAACTCAATTAAGGAAATGCCCCCACCTGATTTACATGTAGGCGAATTTATGGAGGCATTTTCTTTATTAACAATTGATGTGCATGAGCCCAGCCCATAGGGGTGGTGTCACCTCTGGGCATGAGGTTTAAGCTGTATAAGGAAGCAGACTGTGCAAGCCATGTGAAATAAGTAAGTGGCATTCCTCCATGGCTCCTGCTTCAGTTCCTGCCTCTAGATGCCTGCCCTGAATTTCCTCAGTGATGAAATGTTACCAGGAGTGTAAAATGAACTAAACCTTTTTTTCTCCCAAGTTGTTTTTGGCCATGGTGTGTTATCATAACAATAGTAAACAAACAAAGGTCAGATTAGAAAGGAAGAGGGGAGGAGATGGCAGGTGGGTGAATGGATCTGATGGGAATGTAACATGTATATGAGTGTAAAAACATTGATTAATCCAATTAGTAAAATTGATGTTTTAATAATTATAATGAGGAGAGACAAAGGAGTTGTCATGGTATTGGGATGAGCAATTCCTTTTTACAATTATTCCCCTAGCTCCAACATGGACAAAATGCAGTAGGTTATCATTGGATACCTTTGTAATGAGTAAATTAGGTAGAAGCCATATCAGAGGTACTGGGAAAGGGCTGTAATGAATAAACTATTCTAAATGATGAAACTGGAGGAGATTGATGCTTTAATGTCCTATTATAGACCTTTAAACAAGAGGACCAAAGAAGCGGCCTTTGAACTCAGCAGCATCACCATTGGAATCCAAACTTCACAGAAACCAAACGAAAATATCTTTAATTAGTGAACGAAATTGCCCTAAAGTTTTACATAATAAGGTAGATGAGATTTTTCTTACGCAACTCCATTTCCACGAATGGTGTAATCCCCTGTGGCTTGCCCCACCTACCAGTGAGGGTATAAAACCTGGGAGAGGTTGGTGACTATCACAGGCAAGAAACCTACCCTCAACCTCTAGACCAGTCTGCAGTTCCTACATCATGAGCTACTACAGCAGCTACTATGGAGGCCAAGGCTATGGCCATGGAGGTATCAGTGGCCTGGGCTATGGCTATGGAGGCTTTAGTGGCCTTCGATATGGCCATGGAGGTATCAATGGATTGGGCTGTGGCTACAACCATAGAAGCTTCAATGGTCTTGGCTATAGCCATGGCTGTGGAAGTGGCAGCTTCCATAGACTGGGCGATGGTTATGGCTTTGGAGGCTATAGATATGGTTCTAGCTACAGAAACCGCAGATATGGTCACTACCATCCCTCATCTTTTGGGAGCTATGGCTTCTCCAGCTTCTACTGAAGAGTGAAATTAGTCCTTGGAACTATTGGAATCTTCACATCAACTGCTTTGCTGAATTCTCAATACGCCATATACATCAGCAGAGGCTGCCTGATGAATTCCCTTCAAGATCAAGACTCAGCTCTGAGAGGAAACTCCAGAAGCAAGAGACAAAAGCAAGAGAAACCCTTCTCATAGAATAATCTGGAATCTTATTTCTCAAGTTATTAATCTTTTTCTTTTGTTATAACAATATAATACAAACTTTTATGTTTCAATAAATTAATTTCAATTATACAGTAAATGGTTTCTTTTTTTTTCAAAACTTTATTTGACTGTAGTAAGAGAACTTAAAAACACTTAATAAAATGACAGGGACTCATGTCATCCAATCTGGCCAAGAACTCACTGTGTAGCTGAAGATAACCTTGAACTATTGACTTCAATGCTTCAACCTCTTGAGTGTTGGGATTATAGATGTGTGCCACCATGCCTGGTGTGTGGGATGCTGGAGTTGAAACCAGGGGACTGTGCATGCAGGAAAGCACTTTACCAACCAGGTTAAAGTCACAGCTAAATCTTGTAACAAATTTTAAGTGTACCACTTACTGTGGACTATTGGTAGATGCTGTTTGGCTGATCTTTAGACCTTATTCATCTGTTTAATCCAAACTTTTGACCCTTTTATCAGCAATTCTCCATTTCTCTTTCTACCCAGTTTACTAGGCACCATTTTGCTCCTTGGTTCTGTGAATATGTCTATTTTTAGATACATCATGTAAATGGTATTTATCTCCCTGCTACTGGGTTCTTTCACTTGGTTTCATTTTTATTGATTTAGGAAAATAGACCCAAGCTTCTAGGTCTGTGCCTGCACATTCATCATTATATATTCAGTGTACCTGACAGCGTTGAGCATATTTAAGTCATCAGAGAACTGTGGATTAAGAAACTCAGTCACTTTATAGTAGAAAACACTATTACCCAAGTCACAGAAAGCTCACTCATGGGTTTTAGAATACAGGACCAGTTGGAATTAGTTCAGTAGTCACCTGAAATCCCATCAGAATTTTGGGATCATGATGGTTGTTTATGTTTTCACAGTCTTCCTACTCTATATTTCTCTCTCTCTTTCTTTCTCTATTATCTATCTATCTATCTATCTATCTATCTATCTATCTATCTATCCATCTATCTATCACCTCTCTGTCTCACTGGTTCATCAGCTGCATTTTTATATAATTATTGTTTTAGGAGCTGACAAAATACCTCATCAGGACCTCCATCAGTGCCTTGTATATATGCTCCTTTGTGAGGTTACATACACTGTCTTACTATTTGTCAAGAAAGATGTTAAATTTATTTACTATCAGGGCAAGCTGCTGAGTGGGAGGCTATTTGCATCATGTATAATACATACAGACTTGGACACTATTATAAAAGTTTATTGCCTATGGATAATAGAATGGAAAAAAACTATATATTCTTACCATGAAACTACATTGCTATGACAATGACAGTTAGAGTGGTGTGCATACAGCAACCTGAATAAACCTCACAGTCAAAAGGTTGAGTGAAGAGACCTCTGCATAGTGGAATAAATTTGTTGCATGCCTGTTTATTTAAGAAACATACATACACACACACACACACACACAAACACACACACACACACATACACCTGAGTTAGGTTGTTAAGATTTAAGCCAGGAAAGTGGTTATCTTTGGAAGGTAGTGCCTTAAGATAGCTTCGAGGTGCTGGGGTCTGAAGGAAGCCTCTGAGGTACCAGCAAGTTTCATGTTTCTACCTAGAGATGGTCTTAGGTGATAAGCCAGTGTCCTGGTCAGCTTTGACTGTCAGTTTACACATTCTAGAGCCATCTGAAACAAATCTCAACTGAGGATTGCCCGGAAATTGGCTTGTGGGTAAGTCTGGAGATAGGTAGTTGATACAGTTCAGGACACTGTGGAAAGCACCATTTCTTTTCTTTTCTTTTTTTTTTTTTAAATGAGAACACAGAAATTTTATTGTATGATTTTTTTATGTAAAATATTCTATTTAAAATTTTTTTCTTTTTTTTCCTATTTCTTTTTTTATTAATTACACTTTATACATTTTGTATCCCTCCATAAGCCCCTCCCTATTCCCCTCCCGATCCCACCCTCCCTCCCCTTTCTGCATGCATGCCACTCCCCAAGTCCACTGATAGGGGAGGTTCTCCTCTTCTTTCTGATCTTAGTCTATCAGTTCTCATCAAAAGTGGCTGCATTGTCCTCTACTGTGGCCTGGTAAGGCTGCTCCCCCCTCAGGGGGAAGTGATCAACGAGCAGGCCAATCAGATTATGTCAGAGGCAGTCCCTCTTCCCATTACTATGGAACCCACTTGGACACTGAACTGCCATGGGCTACACCTGTGCAGGGGTTCCAGGTCATCTCCATGAATAGTCCTTGGTTGGAGTATGAGTCTCTGGGAAGTTCCCTGTGTTCAAATTATCTTGTTCTGTTGCTCTCCTTGTGGAGTTCCCATCCCCTCCAGCTCTTACTATTTCCCACTTCTTACATAAAGTTCCATTCACTCTGCCCATCAGTTGGCCATCAGGCTCAGCATCGAAAGCACCATTTCTTAGGTAGTCCTGGGCTGTATAATAAATCTGGCTAAGCATAGGGTTGTGAGTATTTCAGCAAACAGCATTCCTTCGTAGTTTCACCTTCAAGTTCCTGCCCTGACTTCCCTCAGTGATGGACTGTGACCTAGCTGTGTAAGTCAAGTAAGCCTCCAGTCAGTGGCTTTCAGTCAGTTTTTTTTTTAAATCATAGTTGCAGAGAGGAAACTAACTTACCTATTTGTGTTTAGTGTTTTTTATTTGTTTTCTGTGTATGTTGTATTCCAATTTACATCAGTTAAAACACTTGACAGGACTCTATGACTTGAGAAGTGTTAGTCTTAGAGCAGAGAATTCAGGTGATTCACCAACATGGTGTATTTCTTAGTGACCAAGGCAAACAGAGATTTCAAACAAATAATGTGTTCATTGCTTTTCGTGTCAAGAGACTCAAAATCTACCAATCCACACTATGGGCGTGCGCCTGTGTAAACACAGGAAGGAGTTGATAAATTCTTGCTTCAAAGTCTAAGAGACAGTCAGAAAGTTTTCCTAATGGGCTCACCCTCCTACTTTTGGAGGTCTATGTATTACTACTACTCTGACTTTATTCACAAGCCCATTGAAGGCAAGAATCTGTTCATCAGGAACTGAAAAGGCAATCGAAAGAATGCTGTGTTGGTTAGTGTTCATTGTCAACTTGGAAGGATCTAGAATTGCCTGAGAAACGGGCCGCTGGGGAGGCCCCTGGCAGATTACCTTGATTGTCTTAATTGAGGCTGGAATGTCCCCTGTGGGCGGAATCATTGCCCAGGTGGGATCCTGGGCTGTCTAACACAGTGAAAGGGCACTGATGAGGGTATGCGGTCACTACTCTCTGCTTTCTGATTGTGGATGGGCCGTGAGCAACCGCCTCAAACTCCACAAACACTGTCTTCCTTAAGCTGCTTTTGCTAGAGCATTTTATCTCAGCAAAAGGAAACATGACTAACACAAAAGTGTGTTACAAACTCGCTCAGCTGCTGATTTCCCTCTTGATCTTGCACAAGAAGTACGTTCTGCTCCTTGGAGAGAGTTTGTTGCTACATAGAGGCAGGCATTGGTGCTCTGCAGGTAGGGGATTGGAGAGTTAGCTGATACTCACACATTGACGGAGCTTCAACAGCATTTCTGATGCCTAGAAATTATTCTGGAATCAAATTAAAAATTCTATAATAGGCTGAATTATTCTTTAGGATGTCAAGGGTAAGGTTTGTTGTTTTTGACATGAAAGATACAAATCTGTTAGCAGAGTCTGTGACTACCATTTTCTGAATTAATTTATCTACTCCATTATAAAAGTTTGGCTAGATAACAACATATTGTTAATGTTCTTTGTGTTCCTAACATATATTTTAGTGAGATAACAGTAGTAATGATGATCTTTCTCTCTGTCTGTCTATCTGCCAGGCTTTTCTTCTCTCTTTGTCTCTCTCTTTAAGTTGTGGGGCAGGACAGAGGTTGACGTCAGATGTTGGCTGTCTCCACCTTTCTTTTAGAGACCGTCTGTCACTGAAACTGGAACTCAGAGTTTTGAGCAGGCTTGCTGGGCAATAAGCTCCAGGGATCCCCAACTCTTCCATCACTGCTGAAGTCACAGACCAGCACTTCTGAGCCCAGCTTTCATATGAGTGCTTGGGATCTGCATTCAGGTCCCCATGCTTCGCACAGCAGGCCCTCTGCTGCCCGAGCCATCTTCCCAGACCTAGTGTTAATGATGCTCATAAAAGCCTGCAGAACTCAGAAGTGTGTCTGATGTGTTTGGGCCAGATGACCAGAGCTCGAACAAAATGAATGTTGATGGCAAACCTTTTCTCATGCTTAAGGATGTGTCTGAGAGATCTATGTGGAAAAACAGTGGCTTGGAAACCAAAGACTCATGGGGGACTGAACAGAGAGATCAGAACAAATCTTGGCCAGGCAGCTGCTTTTATGACCACCCTGGCAACCAGTATCTTTGGCTTGACAGAAATAATAAGCCACACACGAGCCTCTCACTAAATCCAGCCTTCCCCCAGTGCTTGCTGAGATTTATCTGCATAGGACAGATTAAACTCTCAAGGCTTGCAGGGAATCGTACTTTCACTTCCAACTCTAGCTAAATGGAATGCCAAGCTCATGTCAGGCCTGAAAAGAGGCTTCTGACAGCCGTTCTGATGACCTCTGACAAGATGTCACCACACGCCACCTCCCAAGACACTGCTTTTAAATTTCTTCTAAAAAGTTTACTTTTTCTTATGAACGCAGGGCCTTGCCAATGCTGGGCAAGTTCTCTGCCTCTGGGTTCTACTTGCAAACCCCACTCAAGATTTTAGAAATGCCAGTGAGTGCTGAAACCCAGGATAGCATTGCTTTTATGTGAGTAAACTAAGAATACG